TTAATTGGGAAGTAATTTAAGAAATTTTTATGTTGATTATTGAATTATGTGACATGAGATGTCATTAATAATTATTTTACTTGCGTAGTAGAATTTGTTAAACCATGAACCATTTTATTAATATGGGGGTGTATCTCTTGCACAGAAATAAACTGTTTTGGAATTAGTGCACACCCAAACAGGGCCCTTCCCGTTTTACTATTTGTTTGAATTCAAAACCCAACAGGTATGATACCTGTTCAATTCAAAACAAAGAGTCACCTTCACATCTATAAATAGGACCACCCTCATTTGGATTTTGTAACTCTAATTTTCGTTCTTCATAATTCTGCAAACTTCCTCTTCATTTTGCTGCATTATTTTCTTGTTCAGAGAGAGTGTAAACACTTAGTGTGTTCGTAAGGCAAACAATTTGTAGTGCTGCTATTGTTTGTAGTAGATCATTTTATCCTGGGAGATAGACGTCCGAATTCTGAAAGCACCGTGGAGATGACGAATCTGTCTTAAGGACACAGTGTTAAACACTGGACTTGATCAGAAAAATAATTCGAAGAAATTAAATCAAGTAAGTTATTTAATTACTTTCAGTGTTGTTTTTATTTGTTTATTTATTCAGATTTTAATTTTGTTTTTGTAACAAAATAAAATCTGTTTTGTTTTTTATTTATTTATTTTTATTTCGAGTTTGATTTTTGTAATCAAACATATTCTCTCCTTTTCTCTATTTCTTTTATTCTTGTTGTTGTTTTGTACACAACAGAATTAAATCCTTTTAAATACAGTGAAGATTGTCCAACAGCTGCTGCTTCAATTTAAACATATAAATTAGCATAACAGCCCCAACTTAAAAGAGTATATTAACCATCTATGCATTTCAACATTTATGTGCCTTTTTTGGGGGGATAAATAATCATTTATTTGGTCCAATATGCTATTGGAAGTTGGAAGTAGGTTTTCAAGCAAAATAGAAAACTGTTGTTTGCCCAAGGATTAAGAAATGAACTATAGCAAGAAAACTGCCCTTTTAACATTGAGATGGCCGACCTTGGAAGTCAAATTGTTAATGGATGATCAAATTCTAAGTTAAGGGGCATTGGAAGTCAACTTGTTAAATGGGGCACTCGCATAATATCTGCACTCTTTTTCCTTTTTTTCTTCACGGTAGTGTCATCAGATTATCAATTCCAAGAATGCATAGTATTAATGAATGACCACAATTACAGTTACTTAGTAATAACTGCATTGAACCACAATGTGAGGTATGGATTAAAATAAAGCCCACAAGGACAACAAGCAATGACTAAAAGCAAGGTAGATTAATGATTTACTGTATGATCAACAAGATTAGACAACTTTACATAACATTGACACTTTTATTAAGCGCTTTAGAAGAGAAACTTACACTTTGAGGTTCAGCCCACGCAGCATCCAGTCAGGCACAGGTCCATTCAGCAAGTTACCAATTAAATAACTAAACAAACGCGATATCATGAATTAGTCTAGTCATGTAGATTTCAGCAACAAGAGCATCAGTATTGTGACAACAGCCATCAATCTCACAAAGTTTTGGGATGGCACAAATTCTGAGGTTTTCAAAAGTGATCACACGACATTTGCACCCTCAAACATTACAAAATTGAATTTAAATCCCTAAAACAATACAAAATTGAATTTAAACCCAAATTTGACATTTGAAGTGGAAACCTGTTAGAATATTATGTCAGAATATTACGTTATGATTTGATTTGATTTTAGCTATAATTTCCTTATTGTGGACTTTCCTTATTTGTGCCTTAAGACTTCCATTGTGAGTTACATGTTAGGGTGATTATTCAGTACTCCCGGAGTATGGACACGTGGTGCTCCATTATCGTGGCGCTCGTCGAGAGGCGTAAGGGTCCATAATACATGTTATTAATATAAAAAGGGATGATTGTCACATCATTTCCAAAGTTTGTTCTTCTCTCAAACAAACATGGTATCAGAGCCAAAACTCTAGCCCACCCCTCTTTTCTTATTCTTCTCTTCTGTCGGCATCACCCACCTATCCAGCAACACTATCGGCAGTCCCTTTTTTTCATCTAGCAGTCCTGTTGGCACTTATAGGCTATCACCCAACCATCGCATAGGCCATTCCAGGCCTGAGTCTTGTCCGATAGCCTTTATAGGCTTTGTCAGCTACTTCTAGGCTTGGTCCAACCACCAACCAGTCCACTGCTTCTGTTTCAGACTCTCTGTTAATTAGATAAGTGCATCAAGTCCATCCATGCACTAATTGAACCCTCAGGACTTCATTCACTTCATTGCTATAGTTTTTTTCTTTTGATTGGGACTCGTAGCCTTCTGTTTTGATTTAAGTTTTAATTCCCCCAAACTTTTGTTATTTTTGGATCACTTTATGGCCCTATTACTCAGCTTTAACTGATTGTATTGCTTCCTCTATGGTTTGTGGTTGATTATTTGTGTTGTGACTCCGTTTTTTTCCTCTTCCAGTAGTAGTGATTATTGCAGGTTGTTTGGATAGTAGTAAATTGAGATGGCTGAAAATACTAGTGAATCCCCATTAGTTCCCAAGCACCTAAAGGGGAGAGTCCTATTATAACCACTACTTTCGAGAACCTCAATCCTAGCCTTAAAATCAACACCTTTCTGTTTAATGGCCAAAATTATCTTGCTTGGTCACAGTGTCTGACACTTTTTCTAAAGAGTATGGGAAAGATGGGATATGCTAATAGGAGAGTTCAAGCACCAGATATTACTGATCCTGGCTATGATCAATGGGAGATTACCAACTCTTTGATCATGGGGTGGCTCATTCATTCCATGGTCCCTAAGATTAGTAAAGGTTACTTATCCATAAAAACTGCCCAAGATGTTTAGGAGGCAGTAGTTGGTACATATTCTCAGAAGGGGAATTTTTCTCAGTCATTTGAGTTGCGCTGGTCTATTGAGCGCTCAATGCAGGGGGAGCAGACAGTTCTTTAGTATTATACATTTCTAACTAATGGTTAGAAACGCCTAGATCATCTCTTGGATTATAAGTTTGTATGCACAGTTAACTCAGTTACTTATCGGACGTTTCTTGCACAGAAGAGGGTCTTCAAATTCCTAGAAGGCCTTAATGTGGAGTTTGATATGGTCCGGAGTCATGTTCTTGGCATAGATGTTCTTCCATCACTTCGGGAGGCCTTTGTTTATGTCCAGAATGAGGAGAGTCGTTGTTCTGCTATGTTACCACTGGCTTCTACAGACCGTTCAACATTACTTTTTGCTCCCTCTCGGAATGGAGCTGGTTTGTCACTTCCTTTTTCTCATCCTTCATGGAAGGATAATCTGTTCTGTGATTACTGCTGCCAGCCATGGCATACCTGTGAGACTTGTTGGAAGCTTCAAGTTACTCCATCAGGGGTTTAGGGGATCACTTTAGTCATAGAGGTGACCGTTCTAGTTAGTCGAAAAGACGTGGGTCTCACTCTCGTGCTCATCAGTCCAATACTGTAGAGACACATGGTTTAGCTCCAGTTATACAGACTTCTGATCGAGGCTCTAGTATGTCCTCTTCTAAGTTTGAGGATGCTCTGCGCAATTTGCTTGATTGCCAGTATCCTGTTCTTTCAGGTGCATCTTCTTCTTCTTCTTAGTTTGCCCATTCAAGTAACTTAGCCTCATCTTCCAGTGTTTTTCTATCCCATAAGGCCTTGCCATGGATTATTGATTCTGGTGCCTCAGATCATATATTTGGGTCTTTTGATCTCTTCTCAGACTATACACCAGCCTCTGGTCTGGATAAAGCTAGGATTGCTAATGATATTATTTCTTCTATCTCTAGGAAAGGTTTAATTCGTGACACCCCTTCTCTACCTTTGTCTTCTGTTTTACATGTTCCTAATTTTTCTGTTAACCTATTGTCATTGAGTCGTCTTACTCGGGATCTGCATTGTAGTGTAACTTTTTCCCTGATTCTTGTCTTTTTTAGGACCTTATCACGAAGAAGACAATTGGTAGTGGTAGAATAGAAAATGGTCTCTATATCCTAGATCAGACTGACAAGTTGGCTCATCATTCCATCCAGTCTCTATCTACCAAGGAAGATTTATGGCTGGGGCATCGGCGTCTAAGACATCTATCTTTTTTATTACTTAGGCATTTATTTCCTTACGTTTTTTTTTATCAAAAATAAAGTTTCTGAGTTTCATTGTGAGTCATGCCAACTTGACAAATAACACCGAGCTTCTTTTGCTCTTGGTAATAATAAAAGTTCAGTTCTTTTTTCTTTAATTCATTTGGATGTTTGGGGTCCCTCGCGTGTGATGTCAATGAAGGGTCATCGATGATTTGTTACCTTTATAGATGACTGCTATCGTACTACTTAGGTGTACCTCATGAAAGAAAAAGTGAGGTTTTTGTTTGTGTTTCAAAACTTCCATAAAATGATTAGTACCCAATTTGGGGCGGTTGTCAAGGTGTTACATTCTGATAATGAGGGTGAGTACATTGATTCTAGGTTGGCGAAATATTTTTCCACTTATGGCATTATCCATCAAACATTTTGCACTGACATCCCTCAATAGAATGGGGTTGCCGAGCGCAATAATCGTCATCTCCTTGATATGACCCGTTGTATGTGTTTTTCTGTGGGTATACCTCGGGCCTCTTGGGGGCGAGGTCATTCTCACTACTGCCTATCTCATTAACCGTCTTCCTACACAAGGGTTACAAAATAGGGCACCTCTTCAAATTCTCTTAGGTTCTGAGTCTCTGTTTTCCATTCCTTCAAAAACTTTTAGTTGTGTATGTTTTGTTCAGAATCATTCTTCTTCTCGGGGTAAGTTGAATCCTCGTTCTCTTAAGTGTGTGTTCTTGGGTTACTCTCCTACTCAAAAGGGGTACAAATGTTATCATCCTCCCTCTCGTAAATGGTTTGTGTCCATGGATGTCTCATTCTTTGAGTCTCAATCCTACTTCTTGTCCGGTTCCGTGTCCCAGTCATCTTTTCAGGGGAGTCTTGGAGTGAAAAGAGTCTTGTTGCTCCTATTGTTCCTGGCCCAGTACAGCCACTAGTGGTACCTATTACTAGCAATACAGAATTCGATGTTTCCAAGAACAGAGAATGGCAAGTCTATGTTAGGGATAAAGAAAGATAGGAAGTTACTTGGATACAAGAGACCATTTCTGATCAATCACTGTCGTCTCCTCCTTTTGATGAAGGTCCAAGTAACCTTGAAACTCTTGATATTGCTACCTCTAAGTCTGAGCCTACTGATCTTGATAAACCTATTGCCAAGAGAAAAGGTGTGAGATCTTGTACTCATCATCCTATTTCTAACGTTGTGTCTTATTCTCATTTGTCCTCTTCATATAAAGCCTTTGTGTCAAAAATTTCCTCTGTTAGTACACCTAATCATTTTCACAATGCTCTTACTATTCCTGAGTGGAAATTGACCATGGTGGAGGAAATAAAAGCACTTCATAAGAATGGCACTTGGGATTTAACTGAGTTACCTAGGGGTAAATGAATAGTGGGATGCAAATGGATATACACAGTGAAACACAAGGCGGATGATTCAATTAAACAGTATAAGGCTAGACTTGTGGCAAAGGGCTTTACTCAGATCTATGGGGTGGACTACCAAGAGACATTTGCTCCAGTTGCAAAAATGAATTCAGTCAGAGTGCTTTTTTCTCGTGTAGCTAATCTAAATTGGCCACTTCACCAATTTGATGTGGAGAATGGTTTTCTTCATGGTGACCTGGAAGAAGAGGTGTATATGGATATTCTACCTGTGTCGACTACGAAAAACCTTATATGGTCTTAAACAGTCTCCTACGACCTGGTTTGAAAGGTTCATTCAAGCAATGCTGAAATATGACTTCAAACAGAGTCAGGCTGATCATACTCTGTTTGTTAAGCATTCCTCACACAAAGAAAATTTCTCTGTTGAAAAGGTAAGACTTGGTAAGACCATTGCTCTTATTATATATGTGGACGACATAGTGCTAACTGGAGACGATAAAGAGGAAATTTCTCTGTTGAAAAGATATTTGGCAAGTGGGCTTGAAATCAAAGACTTGGGAAACCAAGGATGGAATTTTCATCCCACAAAGAAAATATGTGCTTGACCTTTTGAAGGAAACATGGATGCTTGGATGTAAGGCCTGTGATACTCCACTAGAACCTAATCAGAAACTTGGTAATGATAAAGGGGAAGCAGCTATGGATATGGGGAGTTATCACAGACTAGTGGGTAAGCTCATTTACTTATCTCACTCTCGTCTTGATATTGCTATTGCTGTCAGTGTGGTTATCCAGTTTATGCATGCTCCTCATGAAATTCACTTAGCGACTGTTATAAGAATTCTGAGGTACTTGAAATCTTCACCTAGAAAAAGGTTTTTATTTTTCCAAACTTGATCACCTCTGTGTAGAAGCCTATACAGATGCTGATTAGGCAGGGTCAATAACTGATAGGAGATCTACATCAGAGTATTATACCTTTGTGGAAGGCAATCTTGTTACTTAGAGAAATAAGAAACAGAATGTGGTGACTAGGTTGGGTGCAGAGGCTGAGTTTAGAGCTATGGCACAAGGTGTGTGTGAGCTCTTGTGGATCAAACTGTTGTTGAGGGATCTGGGGATTGGCCAGACAAACCCCATGCAGCTATATTATGATTGATTAAGACTGAATTGTAAAACACTGAGGCTGTTAATTATGATCTCTTAACTTTACTTGCTTTTCAAACTATACATTTTATGTTTGTTTAATGTCAATCAAGTTTGTACACAGTGGGAGCATAAAATGAGCAAAAATGCAAAGAAAATTGCTTCCAGCACGTGCGGTCTTTACCTCACAGCCAAACAGGGCCCCAGCTTTCCCGCAGATGCGAAACCCCCGCCGTACATGCGGTGACATTTTTTGCACGTGCAGTCGTACCTTGAAAAACATGTTCAATGTTTTAAACCTGTTGAAAAGAAGAGGAGGTATAAAAAGACAAAAAAATAGGTTGGGTTGATACTTTTCCAAGGAAAATAAAGGCTTGGGTTTTGAAGAGAAAGATATTTGAAGTGTGAAGGATGTCTCCCATTGTGGCTTCTACTCCATCTATCTCTTCTCATTCCTCCATGAGTGGCTAGGCTTATATTTCTAGGGTTTTGATGAAATCCTGACCAAGTAAATAGGGATTTCTTTTTGGTTTTCTCTTGTGTAATGGTCTGAACAATTGTATGGTCCTTAAGAAGTTTCAAATATATTTTTTCAGTATTCTCTTCAAGTATTCTACTTTCTGTGATTGTTGAATGCTTTTCATACAATAGTTTTCTCTATTTTCATATTCAAGGTATGAGACGAGCCATACTACGAGGGATGAACCATTTTGCTACCGTAGTTTAGAGCGAACGATTCGTACCACTTGAGATGGTTCGTGCCTAGACATTGAACGTGATAATTTTCTTGATCAATGCTTTGAACTTGTAGTTGTGAAATATTATTTCATTCGAACCAGAACATAATTGACTTTTAAATTGAAACCTTATTTACGTAACTAGTGATGGATTCATTATCCTAGATTTTTCCCAAAATCAATACTTCATCATTACTTTTAATTAATTTTTTAATCGCTTTGCTTAATTTAGTTCTCATTAGATTATGAACCAATCATCTTCAATCAATATTAATTTAGGAATTTAACAATTAAATTAGTTTAATTTCACAATTGTCCTTGTGGATTGATACATGGACTTGCCATTATTCTAAGGAATTTAGCACAGTTTAGTGTTTAATTTTGGTGTGTGAAACAACCCATCAATGATAATAAGGTTGCCATCAACATAGCTCACAATCCTGTTTAACATGACAAGACAAAGCATGCTGAGATTGATCGCCACTTCATCAAGGAGAAACTCACTAGCGGCATGATATGTACTTCTTTTGTGAAGTCCAACGAACAACTTGCAGACATCCTCACCAAAGGGGTGGGGAGTAAAATATTTCATGATATTCTAAGCAAGCTGGGAATGAGAGACATTTACACACTAGCTTGAGAGAAAGTGTTAGAATATTACGTTATGATTTGATTTGATTTAGTTATAATTTCCTTATTATGGACTTTCCTTATTTGTGCCTTAAGACTTCCAATTTAAGCTACATGTTATTAATATAAAAGGGGATGATTGTCACATCATTCCCTAAGTTTGTTCTTCTCTCAAACAAGCAAACCCTACTTATTGGCTCATAGAAATCAAACCATTACTCGTATTCTTGTCTTGCGAGAGAGGAAGACATTCAATTAAAGAAAATAGAGTAAAGAAAGGTCCATGGTTATCAGCTAACTCCTTTTAATTTGACCTTTTCAGGTCTAATTTCCAAAGGAAGAACGTAATCCTCAACTTACATAACTCATGCGAAGGAACTATCCTCATTTTCCATAAAAAAATAAGCTCGAACAAAGCCTAATTTTAGTCTCATGTAGTCCAAGACTAGAGAGTTAATCTGACATGCAAGAAGATTCAAGTTGACAAATTTCAAGCCAATCTGTTCAAGGTCATTGGTTAATGAATTTAATTTTGGTGGCTATAGAGAATTAGCATCCAAAACTGGCACAAGGAAACCAAAAACAAGAATTAAGAGTCCATACATGGAAATTGAAGCGCTTGGATTAACGAAGTTGTTTGGAATTACTCCACTTAGTTTGTTAAAGCTGAGGTCTCTGCAAGAGATCATAAAGAAAAAGATATTAAATGGCTTTTGAAAAGAATTTTATTTCAGTAAAATGGAAACTCTGAAACAGATAATCACTACAATGAACTGAAATTTTCAACCCAACAGGATTAATTGAAGATCTTTGCAACATAATAGAGTCTTTTGGCAGAACAACACGTTCTCAATTGATCAATGGCATGCCTTTATCTTTGAATTGATTTATCAAACATTTGTCCATGGTACTATGAACCATTGTCTATACAGGTTTCTTTTCTACATTATCTGGTTTGTCATAATTCTAAATTTTATAAAATGGTTCAACATTTGAAGTTATCATCACATTAACACTAGTAGTTGCACATAAACACATGCTAATTGAGGTTCCTCGAATCATTAGATATCTAATCTACAGAGTAAAAAACTTTTGTTGTTTCACTGCTATATAAAGTTTAATAAATTACATACGAACACAAAATAGGTAATTCATAAGACATTTAATGATATTAAATTATTTCAGATCAAACCAGTAACGGCCCAAAAAACTCTTTCAAGAGAACTTACAACTACTACTACACATGCCAATATGGGGGGGGGGAGAAGGTATAAAAATATACTGGGGGAAGGAATAAAAATATACTAACAAAATTGTTAAATTGATCATTGTCCCAAGATACTCTGGTAAGCTTCCAATAATGTTGCAACTTGTTAACATCCTGCAATGCGATCAAGCATACATGATTTCAAGTCACCAGGAGGCCATTTGAAAATTCTTTTTAACGCAGTGATATAGAAGCATCCAACTTACAGTGTCCGCAGGTATCTCATGTTACTAAGGGGTGGAAAAGTAGATACTTTAGTTCCATTCAAGTCACTAATTCTTCTGCATATTGTATTTCAACCAAAAACAATATAATCAAACATTGGCTACCAAGAAAATTACTAATCAAACACCAATGCACACAATATGGATAAAAGTTTAGGGAGTAAAAGATTTCTCACTGACAATTCATTCACATTTGTCAAAACAGCAATGCCAGAAGGAATTGGACCATCCAAACCACTAGCCTGGATATATCTGTCATTACCATATGTTTATTTAAACAAGTTGTTGAATGAAAAACAAGTGACATCAAAACACATCAAGGCCTCACAAATTTCGAAGATGTATCCAGTTTTGGACGAAATTGGGTATGCTTCCTGTAAAGAAGTTGTCCCCGATCCGACTGCATTGTGGTAAACAATAATTGAACAACAGATTTCAAAATATAAACATTAAACTCCCACAAAAAAGAACAAACAGAACTTATAGAAACTCACAAATCCTTCAAAGTGGTCAACTTTGCTAGTGTTCCCGACAACTCCCCAGAAAAATAATTCGACGTTAAACTCCTAAAAAAAACAAAAACAAAAACAAAATAGAGTTCAATTAACCAATTGGATTGCTCCAGTTAAGAGGACCTATGACTCTCATATACAATGTAATGGATTCAATCGTCAATGATGAATGTTAAAGTTCATTTCCCACTCCCTTTTGAGTCCAGCCAGGGTTATGCCCAACAATTACAAAGTACATATATTTTTACGGAAGACCACATGTACCAAGGATCGGGAATTAGTTGGGTGACGCCTTGAACACACTCCTGAGTGAATCATATAGATATATACTAGAGGGTTTGTGCCCACCCAATGGGTGTGCAATTAAATCTGTAAAATATAAAGTTTGGTTTTGATGTTGTATGCGGCTCAAGTGGTAAAAATGTTGTTTCTCAGACCAAAGGTCTTGGCCTCCCTATATAATTTCGTGTTTTAAATAGACTATAAGGGCATTTTTGAAAATGAAAATGTTACACTGTGTCAACACCATAAAAAGTCTTCAGTTTATAATAGTATAGATGGATAGATATATCGAAAGGATCTTAACTTCAGTTGCCAACAAATTGATACTCCACAAGCATTTATTAGAGTGGGACATAAGTTATAACAATATATTTCAACAGTGTTAATTAGAACTAGTAAATTTATTTAACAAGTGAATGACCCATCTCTCCATCACACACAAAGAAAGAAAAGGATTAAAAAAAAAAAAAAAACACAACTATGATACCACATCTTCACCAACACGTGGTATCCAATAATAAGCTACCAACTATGATGGCAGTTACATAAGTACTTATTTAGAGTAGGTAGCTACATTTCAATTCTGGATTCACTTTTCCATGTTTAAGTTTATCATTGGCTGATAATACACGTGTCAATAATGAGTGATATCATATTGAATTTTTACTCGTATTTCTCTTCCTCTCCACGAGGTGACTTTCACCACCATCACCGCTCCCACAAGCCCCCGTACAAAATGCAACAAATACAAACATCTACAAACGCATCGATAATAGCACTCCATGTCCACCAAGTGGCTTAAAGTGCAAAAATTGAAGTATATGTGTTTGGGCTAAGAGTATTTTTCTGTATTTCTCTAACACTGTGTTTGGTTGGAGGATTTGGGAAGGAATTTGAAAAGAAAAAGGGAAAAGATAGGTGAAATGTGAATAACATATACCTATATTTCACATAATTTCACACGCCTTTTCCCTTTTCTTTTTCAAATTCCTCCCCAAATCTTCCAACCAAGACAGCGTAAAAGTCCTCAATAATGCTTCCACGGGCTATCCATTTGGCAGAATAAGCTAAAATTATTGAGTTCCCTGGCATAGCATCTTCACTTTCACACATTTTGTGTCAGACAACAGGATCGCCATATTGAAAGCATTGCATACCCACGAGTGAATTGACAACAAACATGTCACAAGCAAAGCCCAATCTGATTGCTAGACCATGATTATTATATACAATTCAAGTGCTCCAAAAGGAACCCCGTTTGTAACATAAACACCAATCATGGCATTCCATATTCTATCAACTACCTCCTCTGCTTAGATTGGGTATTGGGTTAGGCGTGAGGGGGTGGCTAAGGAGGGCGGGGAAACGATACGGGTGGTCGGTGGAGGGGTGATGGGGAAGCCTTGTAAACCGTATCTCTCTCTCTCTCTCTCTCTACTGCTTTCATGTCCTGTGCTTTGTGGGTACTGCTGAGCTCAGAGGTGAAAGAATGGGGAAAGGAGATCAATGGGGATAACCAGCACTGTTTATCTTGGCCACCGCACGTGTACTTCGTAGCCTCCTTTTCCGGTGAAGCCAATGGTGTCTAGTGGGTATCTAGTGTGGTAGTGGGGAGTCAAAGTAGCGCTCCGTTTGGTTTGTAGGCAGGAAAAGTTGTCAATCGAGGTGTATTTGCGAATTGGTTATTTTAATTTTTTTTAATTTTTTATAAAAAAAATGTAAAATATAGAGAATGATGTGATAATTTATACTATTTTTTTTAAAGAAATTTACAATTGCCCTCTCGTTACCCCCTCTTTTGCCCTCTTCAGTCACCACTACTGAATTGTCATCTGCGACCCTCTTCCTATCCCGATGAGCCACCTCTGGTGCTAAACCCTAACGGTTATTCCCCTTCCCAACCTCTTCCCTCCAACGGCGACCTCTCTCAATTGCCCCTTGCCGCCTTCTCTTCCCTCTCTTGTGCATCACCCCTGCTACATCGTAACCTAGCCATGTTGTTGCCCCATGCTCGCTCATTATTTCTAGTTGTCGTAAGCGCCATCTGCTCGCCATTGCTATCGCGGCCCAGTCATGCAAATCTCAAACTAGATCTGGAGATTTCCATATCTTAAAAAGTGTAGAATGAGAATAAGAAGGTGAGCGAGAGAGAGAGAGAGTAAACTGATAATATTTTCAATTTTAACACTGAAAATTTTGATAAATTTATCAAAACCGATAATGTTTTCAGTTAATACTAAAAAAAAAAAAATTGAGAAATTTCTTAATTTTGATAATTGTAAACTGAAATCATTCTCGATTTTGGAACTGAGAACATCTCAGTTTTTACCTACAGACCAAATCTCCAAATCTCAAATCCAACATTCTCAATTTTGATAAGTTTCGATTTTAGTATTCAGTTTGATTTTGTTACATATTGCTTCTGAGTTTATTAACCGTTTATCATTTGAAAGTACTATTCAATATTATGCCAAGATTTAACGTTTTTGACGTGATCTACCAAAAGGGCAGGAATGTCAATTTCATTTCAAAATGGGACTTGTGAGTTCAAAAACTGTTAATCTTAACTTCAGTTGCCAACAAATTGATACTCTACAAGCATTTATTAGAGTGGGACATAAGTTATAACAATATATTTCAACAGTGTTAATTAGAACTAGTAAATTTATTTAACAAGTGAATGACCCATCTCTCCATCACACACAAAGAAAGAAAAGGATTAAAAAAGTAAAAAAAAAAAAAAAAAAAAAAAAAAAAAAAAAAA